GTTTCTTCTCAAGCACAACATAAAATAAAATCGAAAATAATAGCAGCAGACCTAGTTTCAGTGATCATAGCACTTCCATTTACACGTTTTTTGGTGACCAAAATAATAATAATACTTTTGTCACATCAGCAACGTACAACACATCCGATAATTGTACACTTAAGTTAATTTAAATACAATAGGCAAATGGAAAACATATAAATAAATGGTTATGGCTTTTAGTTTCTAAACAAAGTATTCAAATAGTTTTGAACTTCCTGTGGCTCTGTTACTCTGGAAAGTATTTTTTAAATATCCGTTTACAAATTAATATAATGTATGGTCAAAAGGAAATTATAAAATTCACAGCTGGTGCGGTCCGCCCAGGTAATCACTCACTCACATACCAAAACACACGTTTTTATTTTTTGTTCCCACTCATGATTGAAATAAACAAAGTTATTGCACATATACCCCTTCTTCATCAAATTTTCGATGATAAAATCAAATATGTCAGCGTACCGGCACCCAATCAAAATCAAGTATATAAGTGCACGTGTAGTACGCCGGTTAGGCCATAAATATATGTGATCCAGTAAAGATAGAAAGAAAAAACAAAACATTTTTAAAGTTTAACTGTTTTAATTATAAGCTTTTAATATAATAAACTGTATTGAAAGATGATATTATATTAATGTTTTGACGACTGACAAATATGCATACGATTTGCCAGTGTTGTATAGTGATATGCAAATTAGTTAAAGTAACAAACAACGTATGAACTAGGAAATTACACAAGGGTAACTTGTGTAATTGCGCAGTAAAAAGTAAAATTTAAATAACAGAATTAAGGAAAATACATATAAGGTGAACTAGTATGTCGATATCCTAGATTACGTCATGCTACATATAACATAATAATAATAACAATAAGAATAAGCCAATGGGTTTATTACACACGGTAAAATACATAGTAATAGGAAAATTGATATCCCGTCATGTTGTCATTTATTTCTAAAGATAACAATTCGAGACGATGTGCACTAACTTGTATTTTTCAACCATGTTCCCACTGAAACTATAACATCAAAACGTTAGTATATGCATGACAAAATAGATAGGTATGATGTCAACTGTCGTGATACGCAGTATCGGCCATCCTGCTTTTTTCCAAACGTTATCAGGCGGTAGTAATCAATATTCATGCTATCACTTACATGTGTTCCGTGAGATGACATTATGTTAAAATAATTTATTTTTAATTAAAATTATAAATCTAATAGTTATTCCAATGATTTTTCCTAATAGACAAAAAACATTTCTTATAGAGTTATGTCTTTAATATCACACATTGTGTAGTTAATACTCCAATGTATAAAAACCAAGGAATGAGATTATAACAATATACACATTTTATAGATCTTTTCACAATCTAACCCCTGTGGGTTGGGGTTAAGAATAGATATACAGTAACTCCTGCTAATTAAAGGTGCTTAAAGGGACGTAGCAGTAAGACACAGTAACTACTACTACAGCAACTTGTACATCTCGCAAAACGTACTGGCTCATCAACTGTGATACAAAAAGCAAGAGAGAACTACCTACTGTATTCCTTTCCTTAGAATAAGGATAAACTAAACTATGTTGGTTGCAGGAAAAGGCTTTTACAAGTAATTGAAAGAAGTCTTTTTTGCATCATTTAACCTGTCTATGGATTTTAAATATATACATGAATACATATTTATTATATATTTAATTGTATAAAAAACTATGTTTTCAGCAGAGCCAAGCAGTTTAAATACTTAAGGTTAGTACTAATTGAAAAGAATGATATAGATAAGGAAATTTCATATAAAATATGGTGTTGTACTATTAGCTAATCCATCTTGACTAAAACTATTATTATTAAAAAAAAAAAATGATACAAAATGTAATTTAAGTACCATACTTCTCTATTAAAACAAATTACATAACCAAAATTGTAGTTATAGTAAAATGATTATCGGCACCGGTCCAATGTACGACCTACGCCTTTTTATGAACACTTAGACTTGGACCGGTGCCTAAATATCTTACTAATATCATACCTCAATAGTATGGAATTTGGCTCTCCTTGATTTTTGAGGTGAATAGCCTGCTAATTTGTGTACTAAAGTTTTCTCAACAATGTCATTAGCATTGAAATGTAATGAACATACAAAAGCTACAACAACACCAACTCCTTTTATCTCGAGAAAAACTAAATATTTAATATCTGTTACCTTTATCTACATTTAATAGGTTTATTACTTTGAATTTGCAAATCCCATTTTTTTTTTAATTCCCCATTTTTAGGAAATTTGTGAAGATGGATATGTGGATTTTTGTTGAGACCTTTGCGCCTACTGCCACTTAAACATCCATCAAAAACACAAAGAGGCATTTTAAATTATATTTAAGTAAACAAAATAAATATACTCTTTATACAGTCTTAATAGTTAATTATTCTCTACTTTAGTTCTATTTATTATATACATCATTTACAAACTAAAGTTTTGGCGGGCATATAATTTCCTGATAAGATATAATTTATAGCCAATCACAGGCGGAGAAAAGCTATCGCCATTTCTGCGCATTCGATTCATAAACTCGTATTTTGACATCATACCTATCTATTTTGTCATGAGTATATGGTTTGGAATGTAAACATCAAAAGGTAATAAAAAAACAGCTGATCTGGGGGCCTATTCTTGAAACCACTATACAGAACGGCGCACAGTGGGAAAATTAAACTTTTAGCCGGCCAAAAATAGAAAATGTTGGTATCTTAATTATAGATTATACTCATTACTATTTATTACCACATATCTGACGACGATAATTATATCACAATATATAATAATCATTAAGTACTGAGAAGATAAGAAGAAAAGGTAAGGCTCAAATGCTCATTCAGACTGTAGAATTTAATGCAAGCACTTGCATGTGTACTTAAGTTATACGTATAGTTATTTTAGCTATTTAAGTGAAAACATTTTTTTTTTACATAATTATGTGTACTAAATAATACTATATCGGAAAGTTGCTCAAATTTGCCCCTTTTTTAATTACGAATTAATTTATAGCTATTTTTCATTTTTTTTATAGATAAAACTGACATTGTAAGAAAAATTAAAAATCGTAGTTTATTTTTTAGTTTTAAAACATACTATGGAATGTGGTTTTCAAACAAGTTCTTAGAGACTCGGAATGCACTTTTTAAATTACGAATTAATTTATAGCTATTTTTCAATTTTTTTATAGATAAAACTAACATCGTAAGAAAAATTAAAAATCGTAGTTTATTTTTTAGTTTTAAAACATACTATGGAATGTGGTTTTCAAACAAGTTCTTAGAGACTAGGAATGCCCTGACCATTACGCAATACATTTGGAAATCAATGGGATTCTTACTTTTTTTTATAAATGGGGATTTTGGTGTCATACTCTATTTTGAGCATCTTAAATAATTTGTTTAAACATGCTAAAAAATTTATCAACAATTTTTTACTTTTTTAACATTCATCAACATTTTTAAACTTTTTTAAATATATGATAATATTAGACTAAAAAAAGAAACCTTTTTCTAAAGAAAAGGTTTTTTTTTTCCTGTACCTTATATTTTTGGCCAGTTAAAAGCTTGATTCTTCCCACTGTGCGGCGTTCGTATACGGATTAAATAAAAGCTAACCGTCGAAATCCAAAAGTAGAAAAATATTGTTTTGTCAAAAATAACAAATTTGCGATGTCTGAAAAACGAGGAAAAAAAGCTTCAATTTCTGGCCAACAGAAGGAGGCTCTCATTTGATTACCTGGGAAATCATCCAGAGTTAAACAGCGGAAAGTTTTCGGCTAGTTTCTCCTGTGGTACGTACCAAGAATTCAGTTTAAAACAACTTATGTTTATAGTTAAGAAATCTTTTTACTATTGTTACATTATTCATCTCCAGCATCGTGTAGCTTTAACGGGCCTTGACGTCCCAATGCTACAACCAAAAGATGATTTCTAGACGAATTCGCTATCCGGGATAGGTCGCCGGAGAGGGGGATGGCGGATTCTTTTTATAAAACGGTAAACTGAGCGGTACTCCGGCAAACGGTTTATGGAGATCCCGGCACCCGTGACAGAATATCGCGAACAGGCGGCAATGAGTGCCAAACACACTGACGCCTTACCCGCTCGTCCACTCCTACTCCTCAAATGATTACATAATGAATGTTATACTCAAGTATAACATAAGTAAAGAAAAACGAAATATCACATAGGTTAAAAATTGATTTAGCATAACATTCATTGGGTATACTACAACTGTTAAAAATATATGAAATATTTTAGTATTGCTTTAATTGACATTTTTTTTTTATTTTACAAAATTAGCCAGCGCACTTATAAAATATAAATTATTATGTGGGTATAGCATTATTGAAGATGAATTTGGGATTAAACTGAAAAATTTTCATTCTTACATAATACGAACTAATAAATTGTTAGGTATGTGATTTTTTCAATGGAAAATCTATTTAATAATTATATTATTGATCTACTTACTTTCGAAAGGATCGTCTGGTGTTGTCAAATATTTTCTGGCGCCCTCTTCGGTATAAGTAATTTTTGCTTGTTCTAATGCTTCAATAGCAATTAGAGCAACACACAGATCTCCATCGGCCATATCAATACCAATTATTATAAAACAAATACGTGAACTATAAAAAGTGTTGAACCGGGAACACGGCATCGAAAAGGGTCAACTAATCTTTTACGTTTACTATGCGTGTCATGTGTAAAAAATTTTGGTTGAATAAAATATAAAGCAGGTAAAATGATATGTCAAAGTAGACGTTAAAAATGATCCAAAGATAATCGAAACAAATTAGCGATATCGAAACGAAAGCTTAATAATACTATTATATATTTATTTAAAATAGTTAAAACTTCAAACGCAATAGCGTTTTACGTTCTACGCACACAACAGCTGTTGTGTGGCATACTACAGTGTCACCAATTATCATGAGTTTTGATTTTATTTCACCAGCTTATTTAAAAAATATAAAAATAAAACTATATAATTGCAGAATAATAATAACATTTAAAATACTTAATACTTATAGTGGCTTACATGTTATACAAATTGAACTACATAAGAACTAGCAGTAATGGAAAGACTATGGGATAATTAAGCCAGAGTCTGCGGCTGAAATAAATTACTTCAATAAAAATAAAATAGTATGTGTTTTAACAACATGTTAAATTAAAGTAATAGATTGCAATTTTTTGTTACTTAATTAAGGCACTAACTTATTTATATTTAGGCAAACATATCTATTATAATTTATAGATATGTATACATAGTGTAAATCCATAAATCACATGCTATCATGAAGATTTCTACATATTTATTATTTTGTATTTCTAAATGACATATAACAAGTTGTACAATACACTGATGAATAAAATACTTTGAAAACGAAATATGCCTTCTTGTATTAAAATAAGGAGATATCATTTTTCTTGAGTTGTAATTCTTTGCGTTTAAGTATTTTTTTGTTGTAAGTAACGCTCAAGTACACTGTTAATACGACATTTGCCAACATTAGAAAACAATACAGAATATATTCGTGTGCCTGTAAAATATAATATGATATAGTGATCATTAAAGCCGTATATTAATATACTTTTCTCAACTCGTTTGTGATGTAAAGAAAAAAGTTTTATAGATTACTTGGTTTTTCAATGAAATCGCCGATATAATAACGACAACTAAATTTCCAGCGGACACCGTCAAGAAATTCAAAGCCAACAATACTGATTTCATATTTTGCGGAGCCTGCGATTAACAAAATATAGATATAAATATTAATAAAAACAATAACTACAGTGTTTATTTAATTTCAAAGCAAATTTGGTATAATTATTGATCATTTATTTTATTAAAACGCTAATATTTTTATTAGGTGCTTATTTGAAAATATATCAAATTAATTATGGGTATCAAATATGTACATTCAGTTCCTCAAGTATACGGCTTGTGATATTCTACATTCTTTGTATGGACATTTGGAAACACAACTATTTATTTTAATCGATATTCTTGCTTCACATTTATGTTGATTCAGATGAACCAATTATGTCCAAAGACTATTATGATATGATAAATTGATTTAGCACTCGACTCGATTTTACAAAAAAAACCAAGAGATTTAATAAGTGTCTTATACTTCTCGGCTTTTAAGGTCCAAGTTGAAATATTAAAAAGTCAAAGGGTTTCCAGCGCCATTAAAACTGGACAAAGTTTTTGCGCATTACCGTTTTTAGTTGATAAGAGGTTTACTACGGCGGATCTTCCAGTCTGACTTTATGAGCTATAAAAGAGATTCGAATGGTATTAATTATTAATGGTAAAAACGACGTCTGTGGTTTCAAAACGACTCTAGTGTGCAACACTATTTTGTTTCGCAGATTTTGTGTGGATTCGTTAGCCGGTTTAGAATGGTTGGATTTTTCAAGAAATGTATTAAGTGAGAAACGTTCAGGCGCTAGAGCTTAGCTAACAGTAAAACTTATAGTAAATTTACCTCAGAGAATACAAATTCCATACTATAGACCACAAAAATGACGTCGGCCGAAATCATGAATAAAAATTGTGGTAACTGCCAGAGTATATGTAGGTAGTTCCCTTTGTCTGTGTTAAATAATCTTATGTCCTATAACGTAATGATTTTTTTTAAACATAAATTCCACAAATTTGGTAATGATGGCGTTTTCAGGTGTTACCGTTTTGGCACCATTGCGTTGCACCATTAACGTGTAGATAGTTGCCGGGATTAAATGTAAATTTTCGAGCAACACATCTCCGTTGCCTGTCACATTATACCTGCATAATATATAATATCATTGTTTTTATAAAATTTCCTGTTAATATCGCGTCTAATCGTGTAAAGTTTACAACTTACTGGCCGTGTTCTACCGCTTGAAAATCGGTAAATGTAGTTGACAGTTGGTAAGTTTTTCCGTCGGTTACCAGCTGAACGTCATTGTCAAACGACGTAAAGTCGTTCAAGAGCCTAGCAAAACGTTAAGTGTGGTTATTAAACATAATTATTAAAAATATTTTAACATGTATTATTAAAAATACATCTATCGAGCGTAAATACCTCAAGATGGGATAACCGTTTTTCGGTTTAGATAGGTCGTCGTGTTCACCGATACGGTTTAATATAACCATGTCCTCATCAATGCGAGTTAAAAAATAAGACACCACCTGTAATTCATCGGTAGACTCTTACATTACTTTATAAACATTTTTAATTATTAAATATTCATTATTCGCATGTTAACCACGTGATTCATTCGATTGGTTAAACTTAATGACAAAGTTGTATTTATGTATGCAGTTATTTAAACCATAGTAGTAATAAAGTTAAGAAAACATTTTTATACAACGATATCTCTAAAATCGCTGGTCATAAATGAAAAAAAGGTAGAGCCTAGCTACGCTATTATCAACGGACAAAGCTGTGCAAATTATTATTTGAATTATTTTTCCACAATTTATTCGAATAAAAAATTAACTTTCTATAAAAACTGGTTTTATATATTTTCTAAACTCTAAAGGTAGAATATATTAAATTTATACAAAATAATGTTTTAAAATATAATTATTTAAAAAATGCATTTACAAACTAAAAATTGAATTTGAAATTATTTAAATAATCTTTCATTTGATTAATTATGATTAGACTTACTTTTACTTGAATAATGTGTTATCTTGGTGACTATTTAGATAACGTTTTATTTGAATGATGCACAACACTGCCAACGGGGTATATAACACCTAAGGCCGGGTTTTAATATAGTCTTTACTTAACAAGCGAGGAAAAAATCTTTGTTCGAAAATGAACGAAAACCCCCCAAAAATTTACAACTATTGAAATTTACCTTTCCTTCCACAATAGTGACGGTTGTATTCAGTTGGTAACCCGAACGAACGCTAGAACATGTATCGTCAAATGTCACAAGGACCTTAAACAGATCCTCATTGACTACCGGAGAGTATTTAAATTTGGTCATGCTGAAGGCGTCAATACCGTCGACGTTTAGGAATGGCGAATCCAAAGACACGTTGCAATCAAATCCATTGTAAATGTTTATGTGACCTTCGCCGCTGGATACGACAGTGGATTCACCCTTCAAAAAACCCAAGACGGATTTTTATGGAAATCAACAAAATATAAACCTGAAGGGACTTACGAATATTTTGAATTGAAGCACAGCGGCAATGGCAAACGAAACTACCGCAAAGATTTCAGCAAGAGCAAGTTTTTGCAGTGCAGTTTTGATTCCGATTTTTGACAAAAACGGGTAAAGAATGAGATCAAACAAGACCAGAAACATCATTCCGAAAAGCGGAATGATCATTTGCATTTGGTCCGGTTTGATGGTCCAGTCCAGGTAGTCCAACCGGCCTTTCATAATCGTGGCTTGTAGAGTCCAACGCGAACTCTGACCAAATAATAGGTGATTAATATTATGTTATGGAACTTTGAGAAACAAAAAAAAAATGATTAGTATTAGCATTTTCATCCGATTAACACCAATGATAGAATTCGGCTAATCCATGGCTTTATACGCTTGTAGCGATTCTAGTGGTTGAATTTACCTGCTGTTCGTACAACGCCCAAAATATCGGAAAAGCCATTAAAGCGGTAGTCACTCCTAAGACGGCTTTCGTTTCGGACACTTCGGTTTCGGTGTATTTAGCGTGGGCACAGTCCAACCAGTGTTGGCATCTGGCGACGGGTGAACTCCATTTATTGCGCAACGCATACTGAACAAAATAAAAAATGTTCATTATTGGGTTCATGCAACGTAAAAACTAAGAAAACGAAATTCTTACAAATATGCACCCCGTCGTTCGGTATATGCCGTTTTTATCTGGCTGTTTATTCACATACAACCGCCGGCCGCTCACTATAAAAACTACACAAGAGCAAGGTTAGGCCGTTGAATGCGTATTTATTTGTATACATTATAGTGGTTGTAATGCATACTTATTGCTGTAATCATCAACAGGGCCGGCACTCCAAACGACAACGGGTAACAGCTGTTGCGGCCGAAACAGTGGAATTTCACCCTGAATTCGGGCGTCAGGTACGACGATATTAAAGCCCCAATGTTGATGGCTAATACGAATCGGGTAGAGTATTGCTGAAAGATTCTCTGCTGTTTGGGCAAGACGAACTGGTCGCCGCCAAAAGAGTAAACGCACGGTTTTATGCCGCCAGTGCCAGTCGATATCAGAAGTAATCCGAACAGAGCGATGCACCTGGGTTGATATAATCCCAGTTGAAATACGTATTTATGTAGGGTGAATTTCGAAAGAATGTTTGAGTTACCTTTGAGACAGCAGTGTGTCGAGAATGGAAGAAGCCGTCAAAGCAACATTTCCTAGCACGTACACTAACGACAGCAGTACTATAGTCCTGAAAATAACTTAAAGGTTAACGCTCGGTTGGTCGACGACGACAGCTTCGGATAGAAAAAATTGTAATAGCACCATAGAACTGTTTACTTGTACTTTCCCCAGTACGTATCAGCCAAAATAGCACCGAAAACCGGCATAAAGTAACTAACAAATACAAAACTGTGATAGATTATCGTTGATTCGTCGCCAGTGTACATCAGTATTTTGGTCAGGTACAAAACGAGAACGGCTGAAAATATTACCACACGTGTTAATGCAAGTCCTATTAAGCTAATGTAAATCAAAATTACTTACTTTTAAGCCCATAGTAGCTGAACCGTTCGCACATTTCACACAACACTATTAGCCACACGGACTTTGGATACTTCTAAATTTTTAACATTTTTATTGTTATTTACATTTTCAATACCAATTACTTATGAGTTGTAACTTGACCATAATATAAACCTCTAAGAGGATATTTTTTTACTTAAAAAGAAAATTAATAAAACAACTTCAAGAATACTTCTGACGTACCAAAAAAATGACACTATGAAATTAAATGGTAAAGTTTTATAAAGGTTAAAACCCTTTACTTTTCGTTCTATCCTCTTACTCGATGTTCACATTCTCTTTCTGGTATCCGTTCAGTAATTAACAAGTCAGATACTTTCAAATATCTATCATCATAATTATCTTATTTGTGAGCAGTTTGTCTTTTCTTAAAAAACATTATTTTTATCCCTGATATACCCCATTTTATCTGACTTTCACTAATTCTATTCCCTCATTTCTTGTTGATTTGATATCACATATTCATCAGTATTACTATTATTATTTTATTATAGTTCTTTGGTGTTATTACTGAAAATAACGAGTCTAAGATAATTCGTCATACTTAATCTGGGATATGTTTTTATGGTACAATTTTAATATTTTATACTAATTATTTTCACTGAGTCGTCGCCGTTTTTGTTATCTGTTAGCAGAGACTATAACTACATACATAATACTTCCATACGATAGACTATTAATAACGTTTACTATAATCAGTACTTGAATTACATGGCTATCTTAATAACGTTAAATAGAAGTTAAAATTATAATTGAGATAGTGCAGTATGTCTTGATTATACAATTAGGTTACATATAGAATATAAATTTTTTAGAAAAAGTCACAAAATGAAATGGTATTCTAGTAACTACACCGAAGAACAATATTTATTCTTAAAATTTTCACTGCATAAATGTTATACATTTTTAAACTTTTTGATAACTAAACAAGTAAAGTCACTTTATACAAAAAAAAATATTTTTAAGAAAAAAAGTATAAATATAAAATAATTTAGCCCGTTTTCCGAACATCCTAAAAAACAATAAAACAACTAAACTATAATTATTTCAACTAAATACAAATCTGCTAAATACCCAAAAAATAAAATACGTTATTGACTTTTGAGTACAAAATGTATTAATTTCAATACTGATTATATTTTAAACTATGAAAATTCCTAATAGTATGTTAGTTTTTATGCTTAGAATGACTATTCCTGATAATTTAAATTGACTTATAAACAATCGTTTTTGTAAACATTCAAATTTGTTTACTCACCAACGGGGTTTCTTCGGAAACGTGTAACTCGTCCATTTTATAACTATAAAAACAAAAATATATTTAATATATTACTAAATTAGAAACTCACACTGTCTTCTACATATCGATTCTAAGTTATGTCATGTCAAATAATCAAATGTGAGCTGGTCACATGCCCGTTCGTATACAAGATAATATAACCTTGTAATCTTACTATGTACACTTCACTTACGCACTTTTATCACGCTCAACTAACATCGTTTACCTCGGCTTAATGAACAAAATATGTACTTTTTAAGGCCTGAGTAAGAATTGATTTAATTTTATGAATCAAATTATATCTTAAAATCGGATTAACTTAAAGTATTTTTTTTGTCAAAATACGTTATTGTCATAGTTCTTATGTGAAAATAATTATTCTAACCAGACTGATTAAATCAGTCGAGGTCGCGAGCCATTTAAACATAAAATAAATTTGTCGACAGATTGGTTTGTTGACATTAACTATAGTGTAAAGTGAATCTATTAAAGTGGTCAAGTAGTCAAAAAGGTAATTGGACTAATATTTGCGACCATAATATAAAATATTATCATTATGCGTCTTGGTAAATTATAGTGATTTCTAGCCTACATAATTACAAATAACCTATTGATTTATGATCTTCTTGACACGGATTTTTTAATTAGGTACTTACGCAATAAACTTTAAAACCGCTAAGTATACCAAACAAACAACAGCAATAATAGAAATTCCTTTACCTCGTACTTGACAAACTATATCCCACACCTTACAAGAGAAACCGAAAATACCATATCATTCACTGAATAAATATAATATACCCTTTACCTCTAAGCTATATAAAGTTGTCTATATTTTGTACAGTACAAAATGTATTTGGCGTTTCTTTATACAATATTTCTTATAACATATTTTTTTAACTTAATATCAATCTTGTATGCTATAAATATGAATGATACTCGAATCCGATTGTTAAAAAAATGAAATATAGGGATAGGAATTTTATCAAGCATAAAACTTTTACACTAACTGTACAGTGTACAAATCAATAATGCTCACTAATTTTGTACTTACCTCCTTGATGTACTTACGGCCAACTTGTTTCTTCTCAAGCACAACATAAAATAAAATCGAAAATAATAGCAGCAGACCTAGTTTCAGTGATCATGGCACTTCCATTTACAAGTTTTTTTGGCGACTAATGTAATAATAATACTTTTGTCATATCAGCGGCGTACGACACATCCGATAATTGTACACTAAAGTTAATTTAACTTACAACAGGCAAACGGGAAACAAATAAATAAACGGTATGGCTTTTGATTATTGAACAAAAAAAATCAAATAGTTTTGAACTTCCTGTGGCCTTGTTATTCTGGACGGTCTTTTTTAATATTCGTTCACAAATTAATATAATGTATGGTTCGAGTGGAAATTATAAAATTCACAGCTGGCGCGGTCCGCACATGTAATCACTCACATACCAAAACACATGTTTTAATTTTTTGTTCCCACTGAAACTATAACATCAAAACGTCAGTATATGGTTTGGAATGTAAACATCAAAAGGTAATAATAAAAAATAAAAAAGCAACTGATTACTTATACACATTATATGTATATATATATATTTATATTTATTTATTAATAAAAAAAAATTAAAATACAGTAGCACATTTGACTGACTATATATTTGGTAATTGAAATTGTAAAAACTTGAAAATTTAAAACGAAACATCAAACAACAATAATAATTGTTTTTAAAGATGTTTTGGCACATTAGACGAAAACATTATACATAAATTTAAACAGAGAAAAATTATTTTAATCTGTGACGATATCAAAAGATATAATAACACAAAGGGTGTAAAAAAAAGCATGTCACCGATATGTAGTGGTCATTTTAAGAAATAAAATAAAATTACATTTACCCCGATGGTCGCTTTTTATGTGATAAAAAAATTCATCACGTGGTCTGCTTGAAAATGTTTAGGCGTAACCACTGGCAAATTACACCTAGGTCTTTATTTTACTAGATAATCAATGAGGGGTGCAACTATAAGTTTAGACCAGGCAAAATTGAGTTAAATCTGTTTTCAAAATAAAGTTGTAATTATAACTGACAACTGATTACTATTGATCAGGGACAAGCCTTTTTTTTCTAAGTACAATATTAGGTAGGTAAACATAATTATTATGAATAATAACAACATTTTATGGAAATTAATTTTTAGTAACATTTCACGTTAAAATCAGTTTCATTTCTTAAAAAAATATAACACATATTATGTAATGACGCGTTTTGACTTTTATTAAATCCAAAAAAAAAAAAAAATTAGTTTATAAATAATCATGTAAATTATAACATATTTTACATGGCATAATTACAAGAATTTTCATTAAACCTATTATCTAGCTATTATTTTTGTGTGTAAAATAAAATCCTTAAAAATTATACAATCCGCCTGTCACGCCGATACTATGATTACAATGTTAATGTACGAATGAACTGTTAGATAAAATGCTGGCCGTTACCTACCACGTGTAAACATAGGTAGTTTGGCCCGTACTCATGTCATAACGGAATCCGATTTCTATCAAATGGTTGCTCACGTCTTCCATATAATATTTCATTATGTGTACATAATAATCGTAGCTAACTCTTGGGAATCGCCTTTGACACTCGTCTACTAACACTTCCATGTCCAATCGTGGACACTCTGGTTGACAGTTGGAAGCCAAATACGCAAGCAAGTAATCGATAAGGCTTTGAAACTGCGACACGTAACTATGGTCATCCGGCAGTACGACAGTACAGAGGAAGTGTTGGTTCGTCGACAAATATTGGTAAAATTCGTCCAAGTTAGGGTCGTCACCGGTAGTGGAATGTGTGTACGCCAACGAGCGCATCACCTCTAACATTGTATACGAACCGTCTTGGAGAACCACCGCCAGTTTGTTCCAACAATCGCCGGTGTTGTCGTCGCCGTTTACAGACAAACGATTACACTCTTCAATGACTTGTATGGCCAACACGAGAAACCAATAAAACTTCACACCGTAATTGCATCCCATCAGCCGAGGTATCAGGCGCAGCTTCTTCCACGTCCCCGGCCTGGACCTTTGGTTGACTAAATAGTCTACGTGCATCCAATCTTGTCCGTCGTGTATCGTGGTAAACCACGAATTGCGCCAATCGTGTTGTTTATAATATCCATAGAACAAGTCGGCCTGCTTTGCTGTCAGCTGCGTCTGTGCCATGGCCTCTACTCTCGTTCCGTTTTGTACGTTTGCAACGACAAGCGCAATCAAAATTAAAATTATTACATTTTTACACATTTTAAATATTGTGTCGAGATTTATATTTTGATACGAAAATGTACTTGCTGTGTGATCTGTACCAAAAACTATAATGTAGAGGAGTATATATATATATTAATTGTGACACACGCCGCACGTAATCGTTTGTCTATATAACATATGCCTAACGTCTTTGTGTATACCATAGATTATTGAAACATTTATTTACATACATTAAAAACCTAATAATAGTATTGAAGTAATTGGATAAATTACGAGACATAACAATAAAACGATGTTTATTTGATTTATTGCATTTTTTTTTTTTTTAAGAAACTGTCTCGAGTCGAAGATGCCATTGGACGATATTTTCGGTGCCTATTTAACAATACATTATAAAAGCTCGGCACGTGTATACCAGTCGGTCGGTCCTTAAACGCGCCGAGGGAAATACTTGGCCCTGGAAAGCTAAAATTTGTCGGCTAAAAACACTAGGTTATAAGCAACTATGAATTATTAAAAAAAAAAAAGGTTAATTGCCTAAATAAAATCCAGCACATAGGGTACTACAGCCAATAGCTAGAAATGTTTGTAATAATTTTTGCCCATAAACATTAGCTAATACATATATTATGTAATTTTTACTCCTATTTGGATATCTTAGTTATAGGGTTTTAGAAGTGAAAATTAGACCATAGATTGAGTTACAGGGGCAGAAGAATATTTATTCTTAAAACACATGTTTTTATTTGTTGTTCCCACTGAAACTATATCAAAACATCAAAACGTCAGTATATTGTTTGGACTGTAAAAAGCAAAAGGTGATAATAAAAAAAAAAACCGCTAATTACTTATACACATTACATATATTTATATTTATTTATAAATTGAAAAAAAAAATCAAATACATTGAGTAGCACATTCGAATGACTTTATATTTGGTAATAATCTAACACAAATTGATGCTATTTGGTAATTGAAATTTCAAAAAGTTGAAAATTTAAAACGAAACATCAAACAACAATAATAATAATTATTAAAGATGTTTTGGCACATTAGACGAAAACATTATGTATTATATAAAATTAAATGAAACAAACAGGCAATGAAATATGGCGAAGAGAGATTGATTGTCAGAGTATTAACGTGAATAATTAAATACAATATTAGGTAGGTGTACATAATTATTATAAATAATAACAACATTTTATAATAAATAATTATACATAAATTTAAATGGAGAAAAATGACAATATCAAAAGATATAATAACACAAAGGGTGTAATAAAAAGCATGTCACCGATATGTAGTGGTCGTTAGTTTTTAAAAAGGAAATAACATTTACCCGGAGAGTCACTTTTTATGTGATCAAAAAAAATACACTACGTGGTCTGCTTGAAAATTTTTAGGCGTAACCACTGGCAGATCACATCTCGGTCTTTATTTTACTTGATAATCAATGAGGGGTGCAAACTATAAGTATAGACCAGGCAAAACTTGAGTTAAATCTGTTTTCAAAATAAAGTTGTAATTATATAACTGACAACTGGTTACTATCGATCGGAGACAAGGCTTTTTTTCTTAAAACATATACATACTTCGTACTCGTATGTATAATATATTTATATTATAATATAACTTGTCAATTGAATATTTAAAAATATTGAGACAGTTGAAAAAAAGTTAAATTGAAACACGGATCTAAACTATGTTATTATTATAATAATTAAAATTAGTCAAAAAATTATTTGAGTTTTTAAAACGATGGTAATTTGTTTTCTTAAAGTCATAAATCATCGTTCACAGATAACACATTATCGACTAAAAAATAATGTACACTATACGGCCTACACATGCACTTTTTTCAATAAAAAATGAAGATAATTTTTAACAAATAAGAGCGTACGTAAATTACTATAATATACAGCATAACAATCAATAGTATACTTTAATAATAATAATTAATAAATACATAAAACCGTTGGTATTCGTTAATAAGTTAAAAAATGATCCTTTATAACGAATGATTAAGGTAAGTAAATAAAATTAAAGACAATTAACAGGAAAATAAAGATATTATACAACATTAATAATTATTAATAAGAGTAGAATGAAAAAACAATCAGACATATTTCGTCTGTTTATATTATTTATACACTAGTAAATATCATTACGAGTACACTAAACATGAATTTTGATCATTTAACATTTTTCACAGGTATTTGTTTAGCCAAATTCTACTTAAAAGTTAAATTACACATAAGTCGTGAGCAAGTCAAAGGTCAGCGAGAAGTAATTTTTAGCTATATTATATTAACTTATAAAACGTCTTTTAAGTAACGCTTACACACACGACACAAATTCCACGTTAGATTTTGTATATTAATTATGTTTAGAAGCACTTTGTCGAGAGAAAGTCATTTTGATTTTGGGACGAATCTTTTACATATTGGGTATCAGTTTCACGTCTCATCCCAAAGGCCAACGACGAGTGCTCTATTTTAATCAATACGTATACATATATATTATAAATATAATACTAAGTTTTTGAGACTAATATAAATTATTTTTAATAATAATAGTATATTTATAAATAATACTGTCTGATTTGGTTTTACAAAATTTGAAGAGTAAAACATTGGAGTGTTATAAATATGTAATTAATAATAATTTAAAAAAATGTTGATTTATAATATTTTACATTAAAAAACGACAATATTGAAAAAAAGATTTAGAAACAAGAGAGTAAAATAATAAAGTACATTGTAATATTATACTATTATATAATATGCTAACTATCTGTTTTTGATCACGCTTAATATTAAAGGAATAAATGGGAGAAAAAGCTACAAATATATTATTATTATACTGTTACACATCTTAGCTCTTAAGACCCGCGTCTAGTATAGTCTAATATAGTAATAATAATAATAATAGCGATAACGTAATAAATGTAAATTTAAAGACATTCCACGCCTATTGCACTTGGGTAAATCACAGTTAGAAAATGTAATAATTTTAGAATGTAAATGTTTGAAAATATCATATAATAATAATAATAATAATAATAATAATAATATATTCGTATAATTTAAAAACTATCCCGCATTAAAATCTAAACACAAAGGTAAATGCATACAGTATAATATATTGTATGTTTTTTTTGTTAAACCACAACCAAATTTTATACTAAATTAATTTTTAGGCGAAACACGCTTAATAGTCGAAATGGAAAAAAACAAATAATTAAAAAAAGTGGTCGAGCTGTCTTAGATTAGTTTCTGGTGTTAACAAACAATTGAACAAGTGTTACCAGTATTTGCACTTGAGAGTACAATCTCATCGAACAACAGCTTTTGGGGTGTCTATTATTTGTTTCGTACGATAACAATCTTGCAGGTTCAATAGACATTGTAAAGGGCTATTTTAGTTATCGAAATTATGTGGTATCAACTATCACAACTAACATAAGTCAGGTACTGAGGAAAAAAATTAAAACAACAACTATACAGTTGTTGTTTACTATTAGAGATTAAGGTCCAGAAGGTCTGTGTTTGTACCAGTGGATTTGTACCGGTTAGGAAATTCGCAGTGGTAAAGGTGTAAAATAACGTGAGTGGGTCTTGGTAATTTTAGTGGCCGACAAATTGACTCGGTGAATTCGGAACCGTTGGTTGAACCGGTAAGTTAAAAAAAAAAAATAAAAAAGAAGGAGAAGACGAAGAAGTAGTGAAACAAAACGGATAAGATGGACCCTGTAAGTAGAAAAACGAAAACGAGTAGGGGGTATTTCAAGGATGGTGAACGGCCTAAAGATCGGCCATTAGACGTGTTGTATGAACTCCGGATTGAGAAAAGAGAAGCCCATGAACTCGGTCTGGTCCAGGTTCATCATGAACAGTTTGTCAGTGGGCGTCAGGTCGGTTTTCTCGCCGGTGAACTGCTTGTCGAAATTGCTCACGTCCTTCCGGTGTTTCTGGAAAACGACAAATGTTGTGTTTTGTTGTTAAACCGCTAGTTAAAAAAATGCTGATCCAAAGGGCACTCACGATTTTCGGCTTGAACGGCGGTTGGACTTCGCGGTTTTCGATTTTCGCCCAATCTATCCGTCTGAAAAACACGTGTCCCCGGATGTCCTCTTCGCCCCTGGGACCGCCGCCCAGTCGTTTCATAGGGTTCTTGGTCAAAAACTGCAACGCACCGGTCGACACACACCGTTAATCGATTTTCGATTTCATGGTTATCACCCCCGCCGAGGTACTTACCCCTTTGCATATCTCTTTGGCTTCTTTGGACATGCCTTTGGGATAGCTGACGCTGTGGTCGGTAATTGCGGCGAAAAGCTCTTCTTCGTCCTCGCCATCGAACGGCGGTTGACCGACCAGCATTTCGTATAACAGCACACCGTAAGCCCACCAGTCGACCGACTTGCCGTAAGGTTGATACAAAATGATCTGTACACAAAAAATAGGCGTACAATATATAAAACAGAGGCTAACACATTGTTAGAATTTGTGTACACACTGATACCTGTGGTAAAGTTTACCCTCTGATATTAAACGTGGCTTATAATACACATCTTCAATACAAAATATCCAACAGTTAACATCTGACGTATTATTTTATAATGAGTTTTGAATAAGTATTATTTAATAATATACAATAATATTCATAAGATTATGCGAGACGAGTAACATAAAGTTGTAACATAAGTAAATAACATAAGTAACATAAAGTGCAGTTGATGACATTTTTATCTGAATGCGATATTCAATTGCACTATCGCTTTAATTTTTAAACGTGGAGAAGTGATTAAATGTATATTTAATAATATTTTTGGTAAATGGTTTCCAATTAAGTAAGAAAGTATGGATGGGAAAGATAAATTTAAACATAATATATATTGAACAGATTGCGCCCAAAATACGCCCTGTGCCGTGTTGATCGTTTTAATTCGACCACGTTATTTCAACATAAAATTAACATTGTTCTGCTAAATAATAAAAAAAAAAAAAAGGTTTACATTTAAGCCATCGTTTTGATAGGGAATAGACCTTTATAGGGGCTTTGGATTTAAATTGATACGGGTTAAGGTGGGCGTACAAATGTTCGAGTACAGTCTACACACGAGCTGTATCTATTGGTTTTATCGTTTAATCTGTAGTGTGAATGCAAGCACGTGTGGCTAATCAAACGAATTTACATGCCTTGTGAGATTAAAACGGTTATGCGAACCTACCTTTGTTTGAATTGATATTATTATGGATGAGATTAGTTGGGACTTCAACCAAATGGAATCGTAGTATTGTTATTACGGCAGAGACACAGTTTTAATAACGGCTTATGGCGGATATTTTAAATTATAACGAAAAGTATAAACAAATTAGAAGGTTAATAATTTATGACCACTGTCGTAGTAGGTAAGGCATTGTTTAATTACCACTCTAAGTGCAAAACTTTAAGCACTTGGAAATAGTGGGATTTTGTTGTTTGTGAGAATCTGCTTGTATAAATATCCCTAACCCAATATGAAAACTTCCTGGAAACTGGCTCGTCTCCAAAAGCGCAGCTTTCAAAGGAAAAATAACCGAGCGGAAGTAATTAAACGCTGTATATATTTTAGTTTTGCAAGCGATGGGTTTATATCCGTAAAATCGTTTACGCAGGTATATTATATAACGGTACCATTAAATGGAAAGCGATTCAAAATATGTGCCAAATCACAAAGCAATGTTGTAATATTAAAGTGCATGGAATAATTTTCATAAGGTTTGATATTTTGTATTCAAATTTCAGTTTGTTCGGCATATTTATAATTTGGAATTTCTAGATTGTAGTCGTGCCCCAAGAAGTAGTGTTAAGGAACAAGAGCAAAACAACCATTTCAAACCAGAATCGTTATGACGTCACCTCCTACCCGGATAGCCAATAAAAATAAAAGCCATTCAGACTGAACCGATGGGAAATGGCAAGTTTTACCTCTGGAGCTATGTAGTCGGGCGTTCCGCAAAATGTCTTGGTCGTCTTATCTCCCATAATGCCTTCTTTGCACATGCCGAAATCGGCGATTTTTATGTGACCGTCTTGATCCAATAGCACGTTATCTAACTTCAAGTCTCTGTAAATGATGCCGTTAAGATGCAAATAGAACAGACCAATAGCGATTTCTGCCGAATAAAATCTGTGAAAAAAAAAATTAAATATATATAAGTACACTTGTATCAGGGTAATCAGGGTGTTTTCATTCAAACGGAGACTAATAATAATATTACATTTTTAATCATTTTATAAAAATATTCCAACTATAGAAACAGTAAATTCAAATTAAGAAATAATTTACAATGAATTTATGAACAGTAAATATTCCTCCAGAAAAGTTAATATCTTTTGCTTAATACCATTTGATTGAGTGCCGGACAAGTATATACGTTTAACGTTAAATTCGTTAAAACCAAAGGATAAGTAAGACAACAATTTAATGCTACTTAAGTGAAATTATTCATAGTATCCGAGTAATTTTTTTAAATTATAAATATACTACTTAAAAAACTTAATTTGACGTTTATTAGTAGTGTTTTTTTCGTTGGCCATTTATAGCGAGAAAACCTACAAAAATTAAAACTTATATAACTCTTTGAGAAATTGGATAAGTCGTAGACAACAAATGATCGTACTAAGGTCAGTTGATTATGTAATATTTTATTATATGACATAATGAGAGAATACAGAGTAAAACAGCCGATACGTACACGGCGACGGGTTCTTTAAACTTTCCACATTGTTGGATTTGGAACATTAGGTCTCCTCCGTTGATGTACTCCATTACGAAATATAAACGGTCCTGCAAAAAGAAATTACACCGTTAAATATAAAAGCTATGACTTAAGTATATATATATATATTAATACATATAATATATTTTACGTTTCTACATGAATAGAGATGATCCATAAAGTGTGTGATGGAAATAGCGGAGGGAAAACGTCCTAACGTAACGAGTACGGCTATCGTTTGACTAGTGAAATTATAACTTCATAAAAAAACAACTCTTCTCGGAAGCACATTTTTTAATGAATTTAAAAGGAAAATGTCGAGAATTTTTCAACATACAAAATGATAAATCGTACTAAATATATATTTGCTACCTCAGTATAAATATTATAGAATTTTCCGAGAAAATAATCGCACCGGGTGGTGAATAATCGTTGCAGTTGTCATGACCGTACAATGTGTTAACGATACCGTGAACAAGCTATAGTGAACCGAGTAAATACCTCATCGAAGCGACTTCAAAAGTCTCGAGACAAGCTTGAAACGTTTATTTTATTTTCCAAATAAGTTGTTGTTTTCTTGTTAAGGGAAGTATACGAGCATCGCTATGTTATATTTTCTACAAGTCTTTGTTCAAAATTCTTATTAGCGAATCGGTTATTTCGATAATTTTGTATAAATTCCAAAACATTCTAACAAAGTCTTAATTTCGCGTCGATTCTGATGGTATCATGACAGCAATAGTATTTTATATTATAATCATGTATGCGCGAGTGGAGTTTTATATAGTTGTAGCCAATATTATTAAATGGTAAGAGATCCCTGCAAGCATTCGTCATGTACAGGTATAGTTATGGGAGACTCGAAGAAAAATAAAAATTGAGCAATAATGTATTAAATAATTTTTAAAAAAACCACAACAAAGGGACTATAGGACATATTTCACGCTACTGAGAAGAACCACAACACATCAAAATTGTGTAAGTGCTATTGAGGCAAGTGAAGCAGCAAGAAGGCACCATGGTATAACTAAAAAAAATAAAAAATATTGCAAAGGTAAACACGCACACTGAAATAAATATACGGACAATGGATCGGAATAAATTATTAGCAACGTCGGAGTGAAACCCTGAAAACCAAAAATAAAAACGCCTATAAATTATCGATTTGATTTTGGTATGGAGTAATTTTTTCTTGAAAAAAAGTCGTTTCTTAAAAAGAAAGTCGAACGATAACTTAAACGTAAAGACGCATTTGGAGTTTTTCCAACGTTTTTTTTTTACCAAACTTGCTAATGCATTCATCGGATCGCATTCAACGTCTATTGTTTTTTTTTTTTTTTTTTAATGAAAGTTTCCTTGAAAAACTTTGAAACTAAGTAAAAATATCATAATATAAAACACACACAAAAAAAAGCTATTAAAGTAGTTTGGCGAGAGTTTAGTTTGCGTTTTGATAAATGTATTCTCTATTCTAACACAAATCGATAGAGTTAGGTTAAAAGTGGGTCATAACCAGAGAAGGACAAAAGTATGAAAATATCAAGAATTCTCAACTACTATATGATTGATTGAATATTACTATTAATTATAATAACTACGAACAGAGTTTAATAGTGCAAAAGTAGCAAGAAAGATTCAATAATTAATTTTATAGATGCCTTATGATGATTTACGGATGTATCAAGAATTTGTATCTTGTATCAATTATCAATATGACAATCGGTCATAACTAGGAATAGCTAGAAATTCTTGGAAACTCATTATATTCATTAAATTTAAAAGTCTATAGAACATGAATAGTAGATTCTCTCGAGCAAGAATGTTGTAGAAGTTCGTATAACTATTAGTTTAGTGTTACATTGAAGTGTCGAATAATAATTAGAAATCTCGGATGAACTAATAAATTCCAATTATCTGCCATCTAAATGTAATATATTCGAATTTCTGTAAACAATAATAATTTATCAAACATATACATTCCAGAATGGTTGTCTCTCGAGAAAATGTTCTCTCTTACTTTAAAATAGTTATCTTATGGTATAATTCGATAAGATAGTCGGTATAAATAACAAAATTAGGTCGTAAACAATATAAAACAAAATAAACGCTTGAAACATTATATTTAATCTAATATATAGTTCAACTTTTACTATAATAGTCCTGTAATTGCAGATATTGATTTTCACTATTCGTGATTGCCTTTCCAAGACTTTTTTTTAGAAGTCCACAAATAAAGTTATATATCTCCTTCGTAAACACAAAGAATTTTGCTTTTTAAAAAACAAATTAAACTCGTTTTTCTCCACTTTAATCACGAGAAGATGTATTTAATCACATGTAAGAGCTACTATCATAAATGAATTATTTTATTATTAAGGTCTTGATATCCCAACATCACAACTCGACACCTACACATTTTAATTAGCATCATAATTAAATTGAAAAACACCATTACGAATAAATGATCCTCGAAAGAACTTGAGGATATTTTGTTAAACAGCGAAGAATTATACCAGACAAACCGTGAACAATTAGAAATTAGCAGAGAAACGAATTTTGTTTTTGTGGAAAATAAGAAGAATCTTTAAGCCTATGTCATGACATTACATTAAATGGACATTGTACTGGAGTATACTATGATGTGGAAAAACAGGATTGGGAAGAGAACTGTTTTGGCAAAAACATGGTTAATAAAAGGAAACTAGAAATTAGTGATAATTTTACGGTAGGTAATTTTTTTTTCTAATGGTATATTGTAACTTGAACTATCACGAACCCTCGTTAACGACTGTGTTCGACTATTAGAAAACGAGGAAAAAATTACTGAGCGATCGTATAACTTTGGTCTTGTAAGCGATAAAAATATTAAGGCATTTTTTATTTTTACAGGAGTGTCGCTAATGCGATGTTACATTCCCGTTAAAAAGAGTTTATTGGTTTTAGACGAGCTTTTAAGATCAAACTTCTAACGCTTCAAATTCGGTACAATGTTTCAAGTGTATGGAAGTTTCCAGTTAAGGGGATTGAAAGCGGTCTGTTTTTTTGGCGTTTCAAACCAAAATGCCTGACAAAATTTCGACTACCTACTATTACTATATAGAGTTCTTTTGGCTACTTTACTAAGTTTGTAAGAAACGGATTATTGTTTTTTCTTATAATAACAAGAAACTGATTTTTAAAATGAAAATCTCTTTCTTACATAACCTAGTAAAGTAGTAAAAAAAAACTCTATTTGTTTACAGAATTGAAATCGGACCATCTTAAATAGGCGTAATTTTGCCAGGCTTTAGGTCTAAAGAACCATCAAAATTGCGTTTACTCATTGAAACAATTGAATAAGTTAAAAATAATACTTTGAAGCTTATACAAATAAATTTGTAAATATATTGACATGGTCGAAATATATTAAACCCCGTTGTTTCTTTAATATCCCTAAATAAAATTATTTAAAACCCGTCCGCTTTCAATCCCCTTAACCGATGTAACTGGAATTTAAATTGATCACAACGTTTCAATGCCACCAGAGTCAGAGCAAGTCATTGTGTAAAATGGTGGCGTGCATCTCTCATTTCATTTGCAAAACGAAATAAATTAAATCCCTTCATACGATGCAACTACATATATTATGTTGTCATACGGAAGTGGCATTTTCTCATCCTTTTAACGGTAACCAGTAAGAACGAATTGCGTCGGTTGTGTAGAGGGAGAATTTTTTTAAACGACCGGAACACTGTATGCTGGTTATGTTACGAAAAAGACTGACGTTTAAAGAACATATGCGTATAGCACAATGTATATACACTGACGAAGCGCTAACAGTATTTTCGAAATGAATAAACGTTGCGTGAACCCGTAGTCAGGGGTGGGCGTTAGGGGAGGGGGCGAAGTGGAAAAACGTAAGCTATTCTTCGCCACTGTGGCTCGGTGTACAGCCGTATTGTCAGAATTATGGACTAAATATAATAATAATAAAAAAATAGAAGTATTATGTAAGAAATATATTTCTAGCGTTTTTTTCCGGAAAAAGAAAACCTATTATTTTCAACAGTTTCCCCGGGGAAAACACGAAAATGAATTCTCGACGTGCAAGCATAATATTATAAGACATGTAATAATATTCAAACAATTCACATGTTCATTATACGTGTAATATATAAAATGAAATACTTTCCTTAATAGTGGGCGACCGAGGACGGAGGATTTATAATACACTCGGCCGCGAGATAAGTTTCTCCGGCGGCCAGCAGGGGATAACGAGCTGGATTTATTGCAACCGTTTTAAACTCGGAACCGTTATATTTCGGCCCAAATCGAAATGAAAAATAGCCAACAACGAAAATACAACACACGCTAGGTTCGTTTATACTTTTAATTGGCTCCTAAGCGTTTACCATAGGAAAATAAACGTTTCGATAACTTCACCCTCAACCAGTACCGGTTATATTCAAAACGATACCGATAGTCTATGCAAAGTAAAAAAATATAAAAAAGCAGAATGCATTTTTTTGCAGAGAAGGGTGAAAAAAACTTGTCTACATCGCTTGTGTGGAATGAGCCGGAAAAAAATTGTTTTAGTAATTTTAATTGGTTTAAATCACCAAATAGTACACAATCGCTGTTCTCGAATGAGATCTTCCAGAAACATATTTTACTTACCAATACTTCATATTATGCATAAGTTTTTCAATTTCTCTTGATCTATACAGTATATACACACAAGTGCATAAATATATATTTTATATATACTGGTAAATAATTAAAAAGAGAAAAACCATTTAAATACTTTACGCGACCTTTATTCGCGATACTAGAAAAAGCCAAGTTTGCATCATAAAATGTCTGCTTTCCTTTTTAATAGACTCGTGACATATTGTTTGGCAGTATGTCAATATCATTTCAGGACCATATCGAACTGCATTATTTCTCAAGGTTCAGAATAATAATATTTTACTGTTAATATACTTTTTTGGATAAATTACATGCAATAAATAAAGAATAGATCTGCGGTCGAAAGGTTAATAATAAATATTTTATACCTATTATCAGCTTTTGTATCACTTATATTTTCGATATAAAATATAGTATGTTTATTTGATTTAATTAGAATAGACGTTATTTATATTTATGAATTAACTTTTATAGCTACTACTCATAGTTATGTAAATCGAAACTAGATAGGAAATTGCAATAACATATACTGTTACAAATTGTAGTCCTTTAATAATTCCAATACCTATGTATAACAAAGCTTACAAATCAATCTCAAATAACAATATATATTTTGTTAAACAGATTAAATGTTCTGTTGCTGGCATGAGTTTTCGATTCCAGCTTGATGTTTGAAGATGTCAAAAAAAAAAACAGGGAAGGAAAAAATATTTTACCCAGTACCTAACGGTTGCAAGCATAACTTATAACTTACGATTATTAAAAAAAGAAATCGTGTATTCAGAGGAAAAAAATACATTTACAATTTAAATACCTACATTTCGAAGTCCGGCTTTAGATGTTAAAATATTCATGATACAACACGTGAAGGTAATAGAAATATGAAATTATATAAGCACTCTGTAAATAATTGGAAACCTCGAACGAAGACCAACTAGTAAGTTTTCCCTGTAATTACCCTTGTAACATATTATACATTATTATAATATTGTTTTATTACTTTTTTGTATTTTTTGTCAGTGTATGATTTGTTAAATATTCAAAACTTAAACAGTGGTTTATTTATATTTAAGAAAGAGAGCCACGCCACTCTGAGATAAGTTAAAACAAATTAATAGTTTTTACAAAATATTAGCTAGACTTAAACAAAAATATACTGTATAAATTATATATTATCACTAATATTTTATCAGAAAGACGCCTCATCTATTGTACCTCATCAACTGTCCCTTACCATTGTCAAAAATGGCACGCATCACGCGACCTTATCGAATGACATCCAGCCTTTGAACTTTACTATATAATATATAATTTACGGGTCAACTAGTTATATGGGATTTAACTCACCATGGTCTGAAAACAAGAATGGAGCTGCACGAGAAACGGCGGCTTGCTGGATAAAGCCAAAACGCGTTTTTCCACCATAGTGCACTCGACGTCGTCATCCTGGATAATGATGTCTTTTTTCAGTATTTTAATGGCGTACAACTCGTCCGTCCCCTTTCGTTCGGCCAACATCACCTTGAAGCGATTACGCGTTAGTTATAGCATTGTCGACGGCGCACAAAACAAAAGAGATATTAGAGCGTACTTTTCCAAAGCTGCCTTTGCCCAACACTTGCAAAAAGTTGAAATCCGACGCCCTGATGACGTCTTTTTTGCCCATGTTGTGTGGCACGTCCTTGTCCGGCATCATCGGTTTTCTGCAGGTTATCGACGTTTTCTAAACACGCATTAACACCAATGAAAGTCTATACAATATGTTTAAACCACTCTACAAAATATATGATTTTTACAAATCTATTTCAAAACAATATCAAAAAAACATATCACATACAAAAGCTATAATATTATACTAAACAAACGTAATATGTACAGTATAGCTAAAGCGGCCGTAGTGGCAATTTCGGGAATTAAATCATTTGGCGACCATTTTTGAAATCGACAAAAAAACTTGGTCGACTGAGAACGTTTCGCAGTATTTCGAATGCAAGCATTTTATCCGGTAAAAAAAAAAAAACGTCTAAATTGGATAAACTTTATATTAGATACTATATATTTTAACGTAACCCATTACAACCGAAAACGTTTTTTGACAGAAGCGTCTAGCGGATAATTTCCTCCAACTCGGCGAAGGCAACAAATTGTTTGGGTTAATCGACTGAAAGCCGACTTGGTTTACACGCACGATCACTCGCGTCGAAAAAATGTAATTTACGTGGCGTTTGGGAAATGTCGTGTAACACGAAAGTTTTAATCTAATAGCAATTTGAGAAATGTAATGAAATGGTTTAATTTTTATTCCATAACAATATCTACAACTCTCAGCCGTTATTTCATAAGATAACCCTTCGACCATCTGTTGTGATCTTCCTCGGTTTAGCGAATTTCAGACTGCTTAATAAGGGGGGGGGGCGGAGTAATCTATTATCTAGCTATATATTATCTATTGTTTTAACTTCTTAATACTAGTATACTAAATCTTCTCGTATCAACGGCTACGTTCTTATCAATCGTCAAACTAATCACCAACTTATATCGCCACGTAATATTTTAACGATACGGCGATTCAAAAGAACAAAAACAAGTAAATCTAAACGTCATAATCGTAAATTGCTAAAGCGTTAACAAATACATTGCAAACTGTATAATTTTGTACATAGAATTTTGGAGAGAAACAGCATTAAACTTAACTAATTTTTTTTTTATGTTATTTTTTAACCAGGCTCAATATGTTTAAATTAAACCCGTAATTAGTTTAAGTATACTACATAGTAGTATGTCACGTTTATGCCGTATGATATGGACGGTTTACCATGTTTTATAACACGGCGAATTATAAATAAAAATATGACCATTACGGCGAATGCCTAACGGAACACATTTTTAAATTCATAATATCATGAATATTAATTAAATAATTAAATTTATACATCCCATTTCTGGGCTTGTTTTAAGAATCATAAACATTTTTTTGGACGGTGTCAGACTGTAATAATAATTTAAGACACTAGTCGTAAAAAAAACTGAAAGAGACAAATTTAATGTATACTCTCGCGGTGGTGTAAATGAAGATTAGTTATGGGCGAGTGGATGAACGTGGGTGTTGGGCGTCGTTACTAGTTTTTGGGCGATTATAATAAATTATAATTACTCCGGGAAAGTATTTCACAAAATATTTGACGAATAACGAAATTCGAGAAATCGGTATTACCTACTAAAGTATCAAATAAAACAACATATATAATATATATATATGCGTTATCCTCGTCGTTCAGACAAATATACATTAACAAAATATGGAGCACAGGACATACCGGAGTTTTTTTCCGCCCGCAGATTTGTATCAATCAAGAAAATGACAGGGCTAAGTCCACAACGCATACGGATTAAGCCGGTTGGAGCCAACATATTTGTAAATAGAGATGGATTACACATAACATCGGCTCAGAACTAAGTAATACCCTGTGTGGGTTTCGGTAAAAGTTACAGCTATTATTAATAATAAAAAAAAATAATAATAATCATCATCATCGAATGGTTTATTCCTACATACAAGGGCGTGTCGGGTAAAAAGCGATTTGAGAAAATCGGTTTTTATGATGCAATTAACTAAAATGTTTGTTTATGGTCGAAGTTATTTTTTCCAGTGACAGGATTAAGACTTTTAGTTTTTATATATATATGCGTGACAAAACTGAGAGAATACACCACTTGACAAAACATAAAATAAGTTCTTTAATTTATATATTACCCAATACATTTCAATCTCCATCTGTAAAAAATAAATATTGTATGAGTATTAAACTTATAAATAAACATGGTCAATGAATTGTTAATTATTTAAAAGTTTGATCATTGCGAAAACATAAGTCAATGAAATTACATCAATTTAAACGTTTTAAAATTGTTTAAATTATTAATGACGATTTTTTCAGTTATAAAATAGGTACAATTTCTGTAACGAGTAAAAGTTTCAACGGGTTATTTTTGTTTGATAATTCATAAATAATTAAAAGATAAAATATGATGTCAAGGGTTATAATATCAGATAAAAATATAAATTGAATAAATAGTCGTAAAATGTTTGTACGACTTTATAAAAACGGAAAAAGTACAACTGAATAACGTTCCGTTTGAAATAAAACTATTTTTTAGGCCTCGTATATTTTCAGAGAGATGTAACTTGAATAGAATAAGACCTAACGTGTTTTCCACCTGATGAATAATGTATCACCCTGGACGTTTACACTGTTAGCCCGGGTTTAATGAAACGAATATTATTTTCTATCGCAAAGGAATACTTTAAATATGAATATTTTATAAAAAAAAAAAAATAATAATAATAAAAGAGCTGACAGGTTTATTAGCTCTACATGCGTAACGACCCGTAACGGCCTTTTGAGTATTTACTATTGAACAAATAATCGAATTTAAATTTTAAATTTTATTACTTTAAAAGAAAAACTGAGTTTTTTTTTATACTATCACTAAAACGTTTTTCGATTTCATTCTCGTTTTGAATGAAAATTGAATCGTGCGAAATTTCATGTTTCTTCTTGCTTTTTGTGTGTGTGTGTGTGTGTAATCTCAAGAACTTTTCAATTCTTATACGATTGCACATAATATACACCGTGCACCTTTTGAATATAAAAACAACGTTTTCAATAGGTTTTCCGCGAGTGGTACGTGATTTGTGTGGAAACGGCGCCGTTGCAAATAACGACAATGTAAAAAATTAGTTTTTCCAAAATCGATCAGAGGATTATTCGCAGAAGAGATAATTTCTCTATTAACGAAAGTTAGGCCCATAATGAAGTCCATTATTAAGCAGCCGTCCCTTAAAATAACTGTAATAAACTAACAACTGTCATGGCAGTTCTAAATACACGAAAAGTCTAAATTTGTTTTTTTTTTTTTACAACAAAACCGCCGCTTTAACGGTTTAAAAAATAAATTTGATTAAAAAAATATCGTCGTCCCGTTAAAGTTGCGGTGTCAAGTCATTTGACTAACAATTGTGTACGCTAACGAATCGCAATAATATTCTATAAAAATGTTTAAGATACAGTGAACAAATTTAAACAAGTACTATAATAGCATACGAGAGCGTGCTTGGTCAGCTAACTATTTTGTTGTACTAATAGCAATTCAAAAAGCAAATAAAAAATAACACTAGAACGTTTGGCGGTAGTAACATTTTAAACGAACCGAACTTCGACTTTGTGTTTTCGAGCCCTGTGTTCAGATATACAAAGAAAAAAAATTAATCAATGTGCATGTAGGTATATGCTTTTGGCAAACGTGAACAGAATTTAGTGTTTTTTTTTAAACACCCGCATTGAAGGAAAATACAAATTGTAGGGTTTTTAGAGAATAAAATACGATAGATAGAGAGAGTGGAGAAAACAAATATTTATTGTGTGGCTACCGGAAAAAGTTATGATCTGATTCCGGTTAAGGATTTTTCATATAAAATTGGATTAAAAAAAAAATCACTGCTGGCTTGTGCAAAAATAAATATTTGATATTTTTCATGATGATACAGTAAAATATATTTGTACACTTATAATATTGTTTTCGTTTGTGGATATTTGCAGTTAATAATTGCTATATGAATTATTATGATATACGGTGTTTTTAGAATAACAATTAGTTTTAATTGAAGTATTATTATAATTATTTTTTTTTTACAAAATAATATATTTACAATCAATTGTTTTGTGGTAGTAAAAAAGTACGATTATAAATATTTATTTAAAATAATAACAAAAATAGTTAGATTAATAGTTTTTGACAAAAAATGTAGATTTTCTAGATTATTATTTTTACTTAAATGTTTAGCAATTATACTCACTCGACAAGTATTAAAACAACTAAAATTGGAAATATGCGTGTAAGTCAACCGGTGTACGATTTTCCGTAGAATGCCTGATATTTTATTACTTGAGTATTTTACATATTAATTTTATAGACTACTCGGTATGAACTATTGAATGGATTGAACTAATCGTTACAACATTTTATTCTCCATATAACCTTATAAAAAACAAAAATTGTATTGACAATATACCATTAAAAGACGCGATTATAAAAAATTAACGGAAATGTACACTTATTATGTGTTAAGGATTTCACACACTTTAAAAAAAAATAAAATGCAAACTGATACGCTTAATTTAGACAGACAGACAGATAGATAGATAGATAGACGATCAGTGTGCGGGGGTGGCATATAGAAGAAGGAAGAAGAAGGAAGAAGATTATAATCGGAGGTGGGCATTGATACGAGATACGAAATCTCGTTACTTAAATACAATTGCAATATGCATGAATTTATTGGGTAAGCAATATATAATTTTTGCCCATCTCCGAGTATCACAATACAGTCATTAGACCTTAACGTGTAAACGATACAAGCGCGTAACGTGCGACTTACCCGCATTTGATTTTTCAGAGCCGCCAGGTCGGCTCCTTCTTCGGGAACAGGCACGTTGTAGAACTCGCCCTCTTCCTGTGTCAACAGCTTGAACCAACCCTCCACCGGCGACTTGATCAGCTCGGATATGCCAAACGACAGGGACCCCATGAAGTCGTTCCGGGACGTCCTGTCCCAGTCCCATACTTCGATCAGCAACCGCCGATCTTTGTCTTCCGGTTTCAATTCGCTGTCGACAGTAGATCATCGTCAGTCAGTCAGTGTTTTATTTACCACAACGCTACGGCGATTCGAAAATAGGGATTAAAGGGGGTTGAGAATGCGCAGAATACTCTCCCCGTTTTCAATATTATAGGGTTGTGGGTTCTCTCGGGCGGTAGTCAACCCCAATCGAGCAGTATCGGGATTTATCGGTCCACTGAGGGGAGCACTCGCGTGTAAAACTACTACGTTGTTATCATTCTATCTCGTTCCGGTTTCCACCTGCGGTACATTTATTTTCCGATTCGGCACGCCGCCTATTATTTGAACTTAACGACGAACAAGAAGCAACAACTAAAATGCCGTTTTGCGTCGAAAGCGCATAGAACTTCCAAATGTCACGTTAGAAAATTGGCATTCGGGGAAAAGAAACATCTATACAGAGTAAATGCGACGAGAACAACGAAAACATCAAGTAGTTCATTGAAAACTCTTTTCTTAATACGTAACAGAATATAATCTATGTTTCTATATTATAATATAATATCTTATGATTTTCTCTAGCCATATTATATCTATAGTGTATAATTCCACAGAATGCAGAATACATCAATAAAGAACGGTCAACGCATGAACTAACCAACCTACTCTCACAATACGTTTTTTTCTTCTTTAAATAATAATAATTTGTATATGTATTTTTTTTCTCTTAACATTATTAAACATAAAGTATATAGAATATATATACATTTTTTTCTTGCTAATCATGATGTATTAAAATAAAAATATAGAGATTGGAGTAAAAATAACGAAAGATAATATTATATTGAGATGATTCGGCATATTGAAAGAAGGGATGGAAAAAAAAAAGCAAGTAAGAGACATTATATTCTTTAAAGCGTTGCTTATTAACGATAATTTAAAAATATACCTTATGGAAAATGAAAACTTTTTATTTTGTTTTCAAATACTTTCTAAATGAGGGATTGTCTTTTTAGACCAAGTTTAGGCAATACATTTAACTTCAATAAACTCGCCTCACGACACTTTAAATGTTTTATGCATTTCAAAAGTTCTAAGAAATGGTTGCCCGTTGCCAAACTTTGACTTAAGCATTTAGAGTTTTTCAAAGTTAAAAACTAGGACTTTTATATAGTTTCAAGTAACTACTCCTATATCACTCATTAATTATTAATCGAGAGTGAACAACGCGTACAAGCACAACACTTCGACCGGTGAGCGTTAACAGGGCATTACTTTTGACTGGCTTACACAATTCTGTGTACGTGCAAGTTATAATTACTGACTTAATGGCGTCTATAGCAGCTGTATGATAATTAAAAGGAACGTGTAATTCTGACAGCAAGAATTTTAATTAAGGTAATGATCGGAAGTGTGAAACTTGGAGTCGGATATCTTGATCGTAATATTATTATACACAGCATACAATTATAGCAACCCTTAGACGCCGTCGACTCAGATATAACATGTAAATATGATAAGTCAATTCTTACAGATTATTATAATTATGTAATCAATTTTTTTTTTTTGAAAAACATTTTGGTCGTCAACAGCTCAATTTTTTTCTATTCGTTAAAACCGTACAGTGAAATGCGTATCTATAGATAGAACAGGAAATATACATCTATTATATTACCAACGCGACGGCGATGAAAACTCAATTATGTAAATTGGATCAAAAGTCTGCCACTAGTGATTTATTTGATTAACATAAATTACTTAGCTCGGTCTAGCTATACAATATAGGAACTAATAAATAATAATGCTAACAATAGATGTTTCGGCGAGAAAGGAAATGGGTAAAAAATTTGTAATATTTGAACAAAATTGATCTATACTATTTTTGACGTGAGAGCGGTAAAGCGCAGAAACAAAAACGCGTTCATTCTGTCTGCGCAGCGCATGCGCAAGCTCTCTCTCGTAAAAGTATTGAGTCCATTTAATTAAAGGGAAATTATTTATCTAGTAACAATACATTTAAAGTTGCCATGTTAGTCACTTTTTAGCGTATCTATTAAAGGGATTTAATTTTTTTTAACGCTTACAGCGCAACTTTTATAGGGCTAAAGGCCGATTTTTGATTATGTTAGTCGAAAATCAGTTAGTTTTATTGTAAAAACTATAAAATGTTCAAATTTAAACGCTTATAGTACAATTTGAAAACAGAAATCGAAAAATCGACCGTTTAGATACCCCCATAGAGACGTTAAACTTAATAACAAAAAACAAAAAAATGTTTTAAATCAGTTTGAGAGACACCATGGAAAATTTTCTCTTTTCCGCTCCTCTTAAAAATATAATAAAAAAACATAACCGTACAAGATGCCGACTAATGCTAGAGAATGTGTCGATGACAGACAAATTAATATTTCTTTATTGAAAAGTAATTTGTTTTTGTAAATGGACTGCTATATCTTAAACTATAAGATACTTAAACTCTCATAATGTTGTTTTTATATATTTATGTAAATTTTTTTCTTTAAAATAACTAGTGATAATGGGTTCAAAATAAATTTAAAAAAAAAACCTCTAAATTTTTCCCCACAAAAAAAAATCTAGGAAAGTTTCGAGTACGGTTTACGTTCTTTTTTGTAATTTAAATCGACAAAGATTCAAGGGAAAGAAAAGCGTTATACATGAAGGGGCAAAGACTAGGCAATATTTGAAAAAAAAATTATCTAGTAGCCGTTTTAAAAAGCACCTAAACAGTATATTGTCTATATACTAAATATAAATAGATACTCTACATTATATATTATAAATAGATGAACAATTTATTAAGTTATTTTAGTTATAAAACTTTTTAAGTTATTTTTCTCCGAGTTATGGCGAAAGTTTGATAAAAAATTACTTTCGTAGAAGTCATTTTCTATGGTATCTGTTAGACAGATTTCAATTTTTTTTGTGTGTGAAGCATACTATTTTCTCTATTGGGTCAAAATGGACGATTTTTTGGTTTAGCAAAAAAAAAAAAAGAGAGATTTATTAGAAAAACTACTAAAAGGATAAAAACATAAACGCTTGTAGTAAAATGTTGAAAACAAAAATAAAAAATCGGCCTTTTAGCTCTCATAAAAAAGATGTTAAGCTTAATAACATTTTTTTTTTAAATCGGTTTGGTAGACACTTCAGAAAGTGACTTCAAGTTTTAGTCTTTATTTGTATACAATTTGGCGCTTTCCGTTACCCTAAAGAGATGCCAAAGATTTGATTAAAATTTAAATATGGATAGTATAATTTAGTTTTATGCCTTTTTTGCAGACTACTTAAAGTCGTGCAGAGGGTATCGTCGAAAACTGTATGGAGCCAGGCATTTTAAATATGTACACAAGAAAGCATCGAAAAATCCGTTTTCCCTTAAAAGGCTGTATATTTAAACATTTATGTTTGGCTGTTGGGATTACATTTAATATTTACTATGAATCCCACGCGATTGGACATGGACGCCAACAAGCGTGTGTGTGTGTGTGTGTGCTTGTACACTGGCTATTGTCATATTATATTATACCAAGCTACATTTAATACAGTGATTGAGTCTAAATTTTAGATTTTTATCTTGAATTCTACAAAGAGATTTGTAGCCTTACTGACTGTATGACAGTAGATTGTAACAAACGTATGCAATATTATAGTGATATTTTCTAGATAGCATTAAATTCATTTTTTAAACACCTGAACATCAAATAATATCACGTTTCCTTAATTTAACACCTACACAATAAAAGTTTTTCGAAGAACGAATAAACTACACTCGAGAATACTGCTGAACGACTCGATGGTTACATTCATAAAAGTTCTCGTGTTACTTTGAATAGAATTATAGTTGAATTGTTCAAAATAAAAACGTTTTGTACATCCTATTTGTACAGTCTGCTAAGCAGAGCTGTCAAAAATAAGTTTTAAATGAAATATTTGTTATTTACCTAACCAGAAATATGGGTTTTATACATACTACCAAAAACTTAGCTGGGTTGGTTTAAAAAAGAAAAATAGGGTTATTGCTAACTCTGCCACTAAAACTGCTTCATTCTTAGAGACAATTTTCTCGAATTATTTTTAATTAAGTATTAATATAAACTCAAGACTTTATTATAGGGTACACGGACGGGTAGCTATATAAATGACGGTAAGAAATAGTCGAAACTGACGAGACATTCGTTTCGCAGACTCGCCAATTTAGTTGGAAAACAACATATAGGTATATTGTAAATAAATATATATATATATATAATTTAAAGTATACCTACACGAGTTAGAGAGGCAGCAGATAGCGATTGACTCGGTAAACGGTGCTTTAAGCAGTAGGGTCGAAAATCCAAACATTAATCGCGGATGAGATAACTTACAAACGGAACCTCTAGATATATACTTTTTTAATCTAGCTCAATACAAACCCAGCGATGAGAAATCGTCATAATCAATCACTGCGAAAACCCACAGTGCCGGATCAATGGTTTTGGTTTGAAAAACCCCAGCAGGTGTGCACAGTACGTCCAAAAACGCCTGTGTACAGTCCAGAGTATTGTAGATATCAGAGTATTTTTTCTTTAATCATTTGTCTAATTATCTATTTAAATACTGTAATTCTCAAACATCATTTTTTTAATTTGCTAACCAAATAGAACAAATATTTTAGGTGGTAATGCGAGCTTTTAGAACTCTCTGTAAAGTATTTCATCAATGCCGATAAGGTTTCTATAGAAAATACTACAATCTAGCTTAGTCCTGAATCGTTACATTTTTTACTCATTTTTTTTTTTATCTTATACAATCAATTTGTTTCGACAACGCATGTACAAAAGATCGCACGCAGTGAAAAAAAAGGTTGATAAAAAGAATACTAAACGAAAAAAATCGAATGAAACGATGGTCTTGCCATTGTTAAGACTTTGAACATGCGCTATGTGTATATACGTATGTAACCATATACTTGGTTATAGATGTGGAAATACTCTTATATATTTACATATTGACTTGTGTGCCAACGTTTTAAATACGTGAGCCTTCAACTGTTTCATTCTATTTTTTCATTAAACCAATTTATAAATTCTATTATAACCTGTATATAAAATGTACCCTAAATACTAAATACACAATTAAAATACGCCGGAGCTATTAGTATTTATTTTTTATTAAATATTAAAAACTAAACAGACTAGAAGCGTATATGTTTATTTGATTTTAATTTTTACTATCCCTCTTTTGTTTCCACTGAAACAAAAATGAATTATGTAAATATATGAACATTTTACAGTTGGTCGGAAGTGATACTGCGATAAATAGCAACACCGTTTTAGGAGGGAGGTACCGAAAATACAATTAAAAATTAACTGTATACATTATCTCAAAAATAAAAAATTCAAAGAGGGGGGATATTATCTAAAACTGCGTCGGGACGTTAAACGACTGAAAAATGAAGCGATAAAACGCGGTTAATAAAAAAAATGTTTATTGTTTTATACTCACAATGTTATCGTCTCGTTCCACACAGGGTTGAGCGACGATTTGATTGTTTTGGTTTTCTTTTTTATGTTGTCGGTGTCCGGTATGAGTTTCAGTTTAACGTACGGATCGGACGAGCCGTTCGGATCCATTGGAATAAGATTTTTTCCTTGGCGAACTGCGAAAATAAAAAACAATTTATATTATAAATTTGTTATACATTGTTGGGCGATTGTAAACAAAAAAATTAGGACAAAATGTACATTTTGTATTATGCAAATCATATAAATTGAATTTACACTTTTTCCTTATTTTTTTTTTATAATTATATGCCACTTGACCCTAGTTTTAAGCTAAAAATAGTAGACAGATTATTTAAAAAAAATTGAATTGACGGTCAAACGACTATAATTATTTCAATTTCACAACTCGAAGACTTGGTATATTTTTGTTCTATGGACTGTGTTAATATTATTTCCTAAGCTCTTCAAAATTGTGTTATGACTCGTTTATTTCAAACTAGGTAACTTAACTTAATTATGCATGCATGTATTTGTGTAAAATGAGGTCTTTCGTTAATAAATGGGTTATGAAAAGGTTTAAAATGACCGGGTTATAGTAATTCAAACCCAATGTACATAATGGAATCAACAAAGGAACCGGAATTAAAAGCCTTTTTTAAAATGGTTTAAAATTATTTGCATATTATTATTTGTATAATATTAATTACACGGTCCAGTCATAACGATTGGGCAATGAAAACAGTAAGGTCAGGGTTGACAAGTTATGATTTTGAAACAGTAAAATTATTTTTTAGATTATATTATCGCTTTAATCACCGCTCAAAATAAATCAGCCGAGTTTTACTTATTAGTTGGTAGTAATTATACACTATAATACACAGTCCTTATATACATATGTATATTATACATTCCTCGAAAGAATTAATTTATTAGTAATAAAAAAATAAGCCAACGTTTGAAAATAAGAGAAAAAATTATGAATCCTATTTGATTGCTATATAGGCGACTGTAAACATTATTTATTTTGTTTTCAAATTGGAAGTCTATGGTTTGCTCGCACATAACAATAGACTAGTAAACTATAATCACTTGTACTAACTGTATTAAAATTTAGATCCCGCTAGGTAAATTTGACTAAACATTAAATTGAATAATTTGTGGTATCAACTTGCAACAGAGTTAGAAAATTTCCAACTAGACTATTGTGTAAGTTCATTTCTAATTATTCTCTTGGACAACAATTATAAGTTTGACATTTACGCGATGACGTTTTAGTTGATCGTTTAAATTTAATTAAATACAGACAAATTTATATAAGTTCGAAATGGGAAAATAGTGTACATCATTTGATGTAACTTTTCTTCGTTCTAAAACTTTGTACAATTATAATAAATGTATATTATTAAAACATATTTAAAATACAGTAGTTAGATGACAGAATCTGATATTTCCTTTTTCCAACTTACGGGAGATAACAATAATTATATTTTTATATACTTGTATTAAAGCAGCCCTTCTTATAATTGTATTCTGATATACTTCAATAATAATTGAAGTATATCAGTAAAATGTATTTTTAAAAATTAACTTTTATATCAGCAATCATAGCTTAATAATGAAAGCATATATTATAGTCATACAATATTTTAACACTTATTTTTGAACAAATCGGTATAATCACCCCAAAATTGGCAAGAATAATAATAATTTTTAATAATATATATGTATACAACATGTGGCTAAACTAAATATTATGTATTTTATATACGAGTTATTTTTTCTTAAAAAATTCATTTAAGGCACCTTATATTATAATATTTAAAAAAAAAAAAAATATCCAATTTTATTTTTGTTCATCATAATCATATTACCTATACAGTTGACAAATGCGTTATCCTCTCACGTTCTCTCGAAATCCAATCAACGCAAACAGCATAAGCGTAAAGCCTTTTTGAGGATCTAACCGAACGGTAACCAAAGCCGTTTATATATGTACCGAGCAATTTCTTAGAGATTTTTCAGTTAATTAAAATCGACAGACACGTGGAATGGAAAAACACAGTTACCTAATCCCCCAGTAAAAGAGTATAAATGAAACACACTGTATTGATGGAAAAGGAACGAGCGTGTTACGTACAGAAAGCGTCAGCAGTACGATGTTTACTGGTATTGACACTACAGGGTTTTCTGGAAACTTGAAATTTTATTTATCGCAGCATCTTGTATACACTAGAACGTATATTTGCTGTTCGCAAAATTTTCCACTTCACGTAGTCGTCAATATATTATACTATTGTACTCCAAGTCCATTATTTTAAATTATTTGTTAGTTCGAAAACTGGCCAACAGAGGTTGAACCTTACGGTGAAATATTCTGACAAGTTACCAACCAGAACGTATAATAACATAGTGGTACCTGGGGGACATACGAGTAACTCGTACGAAAAAATAATTGGCTTTACATTTTCAGTCACAGCTCACGACTCCATTCGGCGGTTTTACTATTGTGTAAAACATACATACACGAGTAAAAAATGCATAGTTTCTCGATTTCTTCAAAATTAAAATTCGAATATTCTAACAGATTCTTTCTAATCTATCAACAGTTTCAAAAACGTATACTCTTCTAATAACATAAAACGAAAAATTAAAATATGTTTTATAAGCTCCAACTAACAAATGTATATATATATATATATATATATATATATAATTACACGTATATCAGGACATTGTGCTATTAGAGTAAACGAGCTAGGAGATGGTCAAGCAAAGCAGCTGCAACTTATACCCTAACCACTAACTTTATCTGAGTATTACTAAGCGATGTAAACAAAATAATCATACATATATAGTAATATGGAACGAATAGTAGTCATTAGCAGATTCAGGCGGCGAAATCAAACAAACTACCCAGCGGTTGTCACCACTACAAACGTCCAGCACGACCCAACGACAAATAAGTCAAGACTCGTTGACCCTCGGGGCACTTAATGCAAGCCGATCCAAAAATCAAGTAACTGAACAGTATGTGGTACCATTCGAACAATAAAAAATATTCTTAGCCGTGGCTATACTTTATCGATATTACCAAAAAAATAAAAATATTACTAAATTTAAAAAAAAAACCTCCCGTTGTTTGGTCGAAAAGAAAAAGAAACATGAGAACTTTTGAGCTTCGGGGTCTGTCAGTCGCTATTGTTTGTGCCCGCGGGGAATGCCTTTATCAACGATATCGGTCATAACAACGAGTCTAAAGCGTACATTGAGCACCGAATAATTACTGTCACTCTTTGCAGCTATACCCATTGTAAACGCGCATTGCCGAACAAGAGACTATTCCCTCAAGAATTTCCAATTCGTGGCGGACATTCGGGATCGCGCCAAAATTATGTATGCGCAATAAGACACGAATGTAGGTCGAGCGGGTCGAAAGTTCCAAGTAACATTTGTCGGAAAACACAAGAAGGTTGCGCACTCCGCGTCGAAGCTACTAATATGATTTTTATCATATCCTGTCCGTCGGTTGAAATTGTTCGACTTCGAAAGAGGCCGAAATAGATATGCGTCGCAGCGTTTAGCTAATGAATTATTAATCGAATCAACAAAACGCATAAGCCGTGCAAACGCCAAGTCACCGTCACAATTAACAACGCTCTTATGATTAACGAGCATGCTTTATTCGTTTGTTGTAATTTGATTAGTGTTATTTGATTACTTTAAAAAGTTTATTCATTATATTTCCAAACAATTACAAAACAGAAAATCGATCTCTTTTCGGAGTAAATGTAAGCAAATCGTTAATAATTAGTCGTATATTACATTTTAAAAAGTAAAACAATTAGTTATAACTCAGTAGTTAGCCTAGACAACTCAGTTTTGCCAAGACTTTTCATGTTTTCGTCAAACTGTCGTATTAAGAATGTGACATGGATTTCAATAAAATACACGAAGAGTACCAAACAAAATTGATACACTCATCTGTTCGAATTGTTTTAGTAGAAACACAAAATGTTAAGATTTAAAACTCTATACGATAAATGATAATGATACACAATCAATATATACACATATATATATATATATATATATATATATATAATAAAAATGTTTTCTGGATTTAAATCGTACATTTTTATAATAATAGTTGATAACAATATACTAAAATTACATGAAAATAAAAAACTTATTTCCGATATATATTGTATTATTTATAAAGAATAATAAGTCTTGATGAAAGTTTGTTGAAGTTACAAAAAGAGCAAACAAACTATAGTGATTGAACATATTTCAAATGATGTAAAATAATACCGTAACCGATACGAATAGTTAAGACTTTCGAACAACAAAATTGAATATATTAAAGTTTGAATGAGACAAATAATACGAACTACGAAGTTTTTCATATCAGCGATTCATCATTGTATTAAAAGCTCGTTCTGTCATTGCTATCTCCTTCCTGTTTTCAACGCCGTATCTGGTATTGTTTAAAACATATATTGATCAACAAAAAAAGAAAATTCTACAAAATTAGGTGTTACAAAAATCACCTAATATATGACTAAATATGCGTAAAGCTAAAGCGAAATGTAATTAAACATGTAAGAGGTTCAAGAAAAAAAAACTTTCCAAACTGCTGGAATTATAAGCATATACCGCAAGCGCATAAGTTACTATTAGTTGTGAAAAAAGTTTAAGGAGGTAATTTTCGTAAGTATAAAGCAATTATATATTTTTTTTTTTCGTCAATGGCACTAAATGAAGAATGGCGATGATTCAAATAAACGGAAGACGAATGAAAGGTTAATAACTCAAACTCAAACTTAAGTACACTCAAAAAACGTTGAACAAGAAAAAAAGAGAAGTAAAAGATTTAAGAGCAACAATTACTAGTACCTTACACGATAAATTCCGTTTAAGGGCTAACACGTAGTATTGCCTTATAAATATTACTATGTCCTACGGAAAATAACACACTTGAGAGTTACTTTTCAAAACCGTTTCAAGTAGTTTGTGTATAAAACATAGCGCATATAAGCATGATCATACTACCTTGTATACTTTAATGTGGCCTATTGAAAAATTTATTGGTTAAAAATAATTTGTTCTTTCTGCAATATATAAATAAATGAATGAAGACAAATTCGAAGTTAAC